TGGTCCAAGTCTGGACTGGTGGTATATGATTCTTCAGTGCCTATTGGTAAGTGTGCCCTATTGGTAAGTGTGCCCTTCTGTTCCGCCCCTGGGCTAGCAGGACAACACAGTGGTCCTCTTTCACAGGTGCTACTCCCGAGTATCTGGCTGGGCACTATATGCTTCAGGGAGCCTCGAGCATGCTGCCTGTTATGGCCCTGGCACCTCAGGAGCATGAGCGGATCTTAGACATGTGTTGTGCTCCTGGAGGGAAGACCAGTTACATAGGTATGAAAAGGGCAGGCTGGGTGATCCAGCTTGGTATGTGTGTATTAACAGAAAGGGAGGGGCAGTTTCTGGGGTCTAGGCTCCAGGTTTCTCTCTTGTTGTTTAACCCTCTATCTGACCTCGGCTGACTTCTAGGTAGTAATTGTGCTTAGGTTGGTTATTACCATGCTTGGTTTTACAAGCCTTGGCACTTTGTTCTGGGTGTGGTAATGTAAGCCTGTAATGCTGGCACTCCAGAGGTAGAGGCAAAAGCACTAGATGTTCAAGGCTGGCCGTGGCCATATGAGATCCTGTCTCAGAAAAGGAAAGAAAGGAAAGGAATTTTGTGTGTAAAGCTAGAAAGCTGGCCAGCAAAAGAACAAGCTGTGTGGGTGTTGCTTAGTCGCCACTGGGGCGCGCAGGCTGGGTAGGCATGCAGGAGCTGACCTCGTTGGGGTGAGGGCTGGAGGGTGGGTAGCAAGTGTGAGGCAGAAGAGCTGAGCTCTGGTCCTCCCTCCTGCTCCCAGCTCAGCTGATGAAGAACACGGGAGTTATCCTCGCCAATGACGCCAATGCTGAGCGCCTCAAAAGTGTCGTGGGCAACCTGCATCGGTTGGGAGTCACCAACACCATTATCAGCCACTATGATGGGCGCCAGTTCCCCAAGGTGGGCCTTTTGTCTTTCCTGAGACTTCAGATTGCCTTGCCCTTGGTGACATTGCTGTGTTTCAGTGCTGTTGAAGCAAGCATCTGGCTGACCTTTCCTTTTCCCAGGTGGTGGGGGGCTTTGACCGAGTGCTATTGGATGCTCCCTGCAGTGGCACAGGAGTCATCTCCAAGGACCCTGCTGTGAAGACGAACAAGGTGGGTGGCCTGGTGGTGGGATTGGCTGAGAGGCCCTCGGCTGATCTCGTGGGGTGTTTTATGAAGTCTCCACTCCTGATTCTCCTGGACAGGATGAGAAGGACGTCCTGCGCTGTGCCCATCTTCAGAAGGAACTGCTGCTCAGTGCTATTGACTCCGTCAACGCTGCCTCCAAGACCGGGGGCTACCTGGTCTACTGTACCTGTTCTATTACGGTGAGATCTCTACAGGGTTACATCAGTGGAGACTGGATGGGAGGTATTTGACTCAAGAGCGCTCAGATCCAACTCCTCTTGATTTCCTCCTGCCTCTTCTTTCCCACACCCAGGTGGAAGAGAATGAGTGGGTAGTAGACTATGCCTTGAAAAAGAGGAATGTGCGCCTGGTGCCCACGGGCCTTGACTTCGGCCAGGAAGGTTTTACCCGCTTTCGAGAAAGGCGCTTTCACCCCACCCTGCGCTCCACCCGACGCTTCTACCCTCACACTCACAACATGGATGGGTTCTTCATTGCCAAGTTCAAGAAGTTTTCCAATTCTATTCCCCAGCCCCACACAGGTGATTTGCTCTGCTCCTCCCACATCACCACCTTTGCTGCGTGAGCGTGCGTGTGTGTGCACGCGCATAGTGTGATGCATGTGTGGTGTAGGTGTGCTCACATGCATGTGGGGAAGCTTGGCCTCTATTCTCCACCCTACTTTATTATGTTTTATTTATCTTATGTGTATATAGGCATGTGCATGCCACAGAACGCCTATGGAGGTCAGAGAATAACTTTGGGGAGTTCTCTAATTTTCACTATGTGGGTCTTGGTCAAACTCAGGCTTGGCTGCAGGTGCCTTTACCTGCTGAGCCCACCCCTACTTTAAAAAAGGAGGTTTTTGTTTTTGTGTTTTAAGACATGGTTTCTTTGTGTAACAGACCTAGCTGTCCTGGAACTTGCTCTGTAGACCCGGCTGGCCTTGAACTCAGATCTGCCTGCCTCTGCTCCCTGAGTACTGGGATTAAAGGCATGCACCACCACTGCCCAACTAAAAATAATATTTTTAAAAAATATTTGTTCATTCATGTAATGGCTTTTATATCGAGTCTTTAATTCCTTCCCTGCCACCCCTACCCCCAGTCTGTTTAATGTAGATGGGTGTGGGATTATCTCCTGGAGCATGCATAGCCTCTTAGGGTCTCATCCCTTTAAGCCTGACTCCATCCCAGCAGCTTTCAATTGCCAGGAGCCCCTGATAGTGGCACTTCATTAACCCCCCCCACGCACACATACACACATACCTCACTTTACTCTTTTTTTTTTTTTTAAGCTGAACTGTCTGGAACATGAACACCTGGGGTCCGCCTGCAATTCTGACTCCCAGCTTTTTTGTCACTGGGATGGATGCCAGGGATCCAAACTTGTGCTTGCTTACCAGGCAGTCTACCACCAAACCATGTCCCCGCCTGCTTTCCACTTTTCTAGAGGCTGCGGTGTGATGAGGGGGAAGGTGGGTGTTTTGTCTCAGCTACTGAGCACTTGGATGAGACCCTGTCACCCCAGCCTCAGTTGTCCTTGGGCCCCGAGCCTTGAGCCTGTTTGAACAGGTTAAGATAGAGGGGATCTTTGTTTGTTTGTTTGTTTGGCCTAGATGCATTCCCGTTGCAGGTTTGGTTTGATTCTTGGCTTGGGGTCTTGAGTACAGCTTCGGTGGCCCAGCATCTCTGCAGCGCCCTGGCCAGTTCTCCGGGCCTACCACTAATTGAACTTTGTTTCTCAGCCATCTTGGTGCTGGCCTGTATCTTGGGGCAGGGTGGGGTGTTCTGGAACAAGACTGAGCCTTGGCTTGGTTGGAAGATGGTGAAAGGAGCATTTTTTTTTTTTTTTTTTTTAGTAGCCACAGAGCCAGTGCATGCCAAGTAGTGTCTGTCTGTGAGCTGCACTGTAGTCTGTCCCCCCCAACAGTGTTCGTTACAAAAGTTACCATAGAGCAAAAACATTAAGAAACAGCACATTTTAAGTGGCAAAGGCAGATAAATCTTTGTGAGTTTGAAACCACGCTGGTCTCTTTGTACAAGGCCAACCAAGGCTACATAGCAAGACCCCATCTCAGAAAAACCTAAGAAATAGGAAGTTTTGCTATAAGTATGTATTTGATATTATTCTCATTGATACTTAATAGCTGTTTTCTGGTTGGGTTTGCTGTCATAGTTTCTGCATTGCATGAAAATCCTTGATGGAAAAAAAACCTGTCTACTGGGATTTCAAAAATAAGCTTGGACTTTTACCTCCTCCTTAGAATGGAGCCGGACTTTTACCTTCTCCTTAGAGTTTCTTGCTACATACTGCCTGCCCTCAAGGGGGCGCAGCTTCCTATGAAAACCTTTTGGCCTGAGAATAGGCAGTGATCCCTTAACAGGGTACTTAGCACGTCCTAATGTGTGGGACTCTTGGTCTAGAGGGGGCAAAATAAGCCTCTTTTTTCTTTATTTCTTCTCTCTCTTTCTCCCTCCCTTTCTTTCTTTTTTTCTTTTGTTTTTCAAGACAGGGTTTCTCTGTACGCTGACTACTGTCTTGGAACTCACTCTGTAGACCAGCCTGGCTTCAAACTCAGATCCGCCCGCCTCTGCTTCCCAAGTGCTGGGATTAACAATGAGTTGCTGCCACCACCACCACCCAACAGCCTGTTTCTTAATGGTCAAGCCATCTGTTTAATCTTTACCACAGGAAATGCAGCAGCAGCCATCCCTATGGAGCCTGAGCTAAAGGATCAGGTGACCCCCATGTCTGAGAACAGTGGTCAGCCAGCCAAGGGAGCTGGTGGGACTGCAAAGGCAAAGCGGCAGCTGGGGAGACAGCAGCATTCCAGAAAGCCCTTCCAGAAGACGAATGGCATCTCCAAAGGGCCAGGCTCAGAATCCACTGCACCTTCTATCCCAAAGGCCCAAGAGTCTGCCAGGCCCCAAAAGAACTGTCAGCCTGATGGAAAAGCTGGTGTGATCAGGAAACCAAAAATGGCCAGGAAGCTAAAGCAAAGGGGACCCAAATCAAAGCCTTCCAAGGAAGCTGCTCTCCCGAAGCAGAGAGCCCCTCCCAAGGGCGTGGACTCGGAAACACCTGCTATGCCATCACCCTCTGAGATTTGCACTGCCCCAGGGATTAAGGACTGTGGTCAGTCCCTGGGGAAAACCAAAAAGATTGAAAAAGCAAAGCAGCAGTTACCAGAGCAGTCTGCCAAGAGAGCTGCTTCCCTAAAAGAGGATGGTACCCCCAAGGGACTCTCAGTCCCCACTGGGTCGCCCCACAGTTCTACCAGGCCCCCACCAGCAAAAAGGAGGAAATCTGTGACAAAGGGCAGCAGCCAGCCACTGTTGTCTTAGGTGGATGTGGAAACCAGACTGTCTCAGGGCTGGAATGTTCACATCCTGCAGTGATGGTGTCCCCACTGTGCATACATATGAAATCTAATATACATATTTACATCCCTAGTCACTGTTGTGTTTTTTAGGGGACTTGGTATTGGCAACTTGTAGGAGGGTGGGCCTATGATCCTCTTGACGGTAACAACTAGGCATTACTTCAATATAGGCCAATGATAGGCTCCATCCATTTCTTGGACTCCCAGGGACGGGGGGGGGGGCGGCAATAAAATCAAACTTAGAGTGCTGGGGACAAGAAGATGTAGGGAAGACCTGCAATCTTAGGCAATGGCTTGCTCCCTGGGGGAAGAGCTAGCCGCTTCCTTCTAGTGTTGACTCCACGGACCCGGAAGGGTCCAGGGATAAACCTCTAATGAGGGCCTTTCATTGGCTTCCTCTGGTCCCGCCCTCATGACCTTTGCCCTCCTCCTGGGCTGTCTGATTGGTTGTTCATGTCCTGCAGGCGCCTCATTGGCTCTTATCCTCGCTCTCTGCTGCACTGGTCTCCATCTCCCAGCAGAAGGCGCAGCCATGAATCCGTTATTCGGTCCCAATCTCTTCCTCCTACAGCAGGAGCAGCAGGGCTTGGCCGGGCCGCTGGGCGACCCTCTGGGAGGTGGTGACCACTTTGCCGGGGGAGGGGACCTCCCCCCGGCTCCGCTTGCCTCGGCGGGCCCCGCTGCCTACTCGCCTCCCGGGCCTGGTCCGGCGCCCCCTGCAGCCATGGCTCTCCGCAACGACCTGGGCTCCAACATCAACGTGCTCAAGACCCTGAACCTCCGGTTTCGCTGCTTTCTAGCCAAGGTACACGAGCTAGAGCGCCGGAACCGGCTGCTAGAGAAGCAGCTGCAGCAGGCTCTGGAGGAGGGTAAGCAGGGCAGGCGGAGCCTGGCCCGCCGCGACCAGGCGGTACAGACCGGCTTCATCAGCCCGATACGGCCCCTGGGGCTGCCCCTGAGCTCCCGGCCAGCCGCTGTGTGTCCCCCATCAGCGCGGGTACTGGGCTCCCCCGCCCGCTCGCCAGCCGGACCCCTCGCTTCCTCTGCGGCCTGTCAGTCATCATCCTCCACCTCCACCTCCACCGCCTTCTCCTCGTCGACCCGTTTCATGCCCGGCACTATCTGGTCCTTCTCACACGCCCGCCGGCTTGGACCGGGACTGGAACCCACGCTGGTGCAAGGGCCTGGCCTGTCGTGGGTACACCCTGACGGGGTGGGCGTCCAGATCGACACCATCACCCCCGAGATCCGCGCACTGTACAATGTGCTCGCCAAAGTGAAGCGGGAGCGGGACGAGTACAAGCGGAGGTAGGGACCTGGAAAGTAGGGACAAGATTCAAGACATGCCACACACAAACACGACGGGGCAGGGAGTTAGTGGGGAGGTCCCAGACCGGACCCAACAATCATGGTAACAAGAGTGAAGCTCCTGCTATGATTGCAGTTGGATGGATGCAGGGGCCCCAGAATCCACAGACCGTTCTAGTCAGACTCGTGACTAGAAGCATTCTAGAAGAACACTGGGAATTCATACTTTTCTCCTGGCATGTCTCCCTGTCTTATGCGGGCTGCAGTGTTTGCATGACTCTGCTAACTGTGGGGTGTTGTGTGGTATGAAAGGGAGCCATATCCAAGAGAGCGCTGCATCTGTGGGTCCTGTCTGGCCCGGCTCAGACCTTGGGGCAATTTCAGGATATAAACTCCATACTTGAGGTGAAGGATGTAGTTTTCATTTTGGAGGGAAATTAAGTGAAATTGGAATGAGGTAGTAAGGAAGCAGCTGCATCTGCCCAGGCTCCCCTTAAGGGAAGCCCAGGTGGCAGGTTGGTTCCATTCGAGAGGCTCAAGGGTTCCAGAACCTAAAGGCATTGCTTGGAACAGTCAAACAAACAGGGAAGAGAGAGAAAGGGTACAGGCTATCCTAGGACAAGGAGAAGGGATGGCGGTTGTCAAAGGGCTGGTAGGGAGGCTGTCGCAGAGTGATCGTGAACAGAGAGCCAGCAGGGAGATGGTAATAAGAAAAAGTGGAGAACCTGGACACACCCAACAGCAATAGAGTGTCAGGACCAGCCCGGTGTATTCTGGGGATGAAGGTTTGGCTCTCTGAGAGGAACCCTGCCTCCAACAGGTTGGCACAAGACTTAGGAGGAAAGGATGTCACATTGGAATGCTGGCTGTGTACCAGGAAGATTCACTGGGTGGCTGGCAGCCGGGTGATAGGAAGGGCTCACAGGCAGAGTGAGGGCTTTGGAGGTTGACCAGGCTGTGGTTGAGGAGGAAGACAATAGGCTTAGGGCCTCAGAATCATAGCTAATGTGACCCTTTCGGGCTAGCCTGGACTGCCTGTGCAGGCCAAGGTGGCACAGATCTCTGTCTGGGTAGCTGTGTGTGGGGAACCATCTGGAGGCCCTGAGAACACAGTGTTGGGTCTGGGATGACCTTCAGGGGTTGGTAACCCGTTAGCATCCAACCGATTACATGTATTGGCACTTTCTGAGGTTCAGTCCTCCCCTCTGGCTTCCATGACTGAGGCCATGCTATAATTATCTTTGGGCTTCTAGTTGTCCCAGTATTTAGGTACCACCCAGAACTAGGCTGCACCTGGCTCTGCCCCCACAGAGCTTAATACAGGCGATAGAACACTTGACAGTTTGAGAGTTCTGCCATAACCCTAGGAACAGCTGCCCTTCTCCGGGGCATCGTTAAAACAGAGGGTATTTGTCCTTGGTGCAGCTGTCCAGGGCAGCAGCGAGTTATTCCTTGGGGATTGATTATCTCATCTCTCTGCGGTCCATTACTGTGCAGTGGGTCCTGTGACTAGACTTGCACAGTCTGGTCTGTGACACCCTTCCACCCCAGAGCCTCTGTCTGCCTTCTGGGCTCATTATAGCAACACTGTGCTCCCCATCTTTAGCCTGGACAGAATGGGAAGCTTGAGTACTAAACTGGACAGGAGCAAAGCCCCACCCCCAAGTCCTAGTGCCAGCTCTTTTGCCTGTGTGGCCTTTTTGTGGGGGTTCAGTGTTTTCCAACACAAGAGTGACCCCTGCTTTTTCTCCTCCACTCAGAGATAGGACTTATTTGTAGGAGAGGCCTCTGGTAAATGCAGAATGTACAGCAATTGCCCAAATTCTACCCAAGTTATGGGAAGCTCGCAAAAAAAGAAGAGAAGGTGAGAGAGAGCTGGACGGAAGTCAGACTGCAACCATCTGTGTGTCTGGGTGGAGAGCAAGTAGAACCCTCAAGAGTGTCCAGATGATTCATTCTCAGACCTTTTACCCTGTGTGATTTTGCTCATTAATCATCATCTTGCCTTCTCATGTCTTACTCAGATTTATTTAGTTCACTATCAAATGGGATCTCTGGCCTCCCTGATGCATCTCGGCCAGAGGTTTAACCTCTTGTCAGTCCTGTGTGTTCCCTCCAGAGACTCGGCAGACTCTGGGCCCTCGGGAGACCATTTCCCATCACGTTGTAGATGAAGGTCTCATCTAAGAAAGCCTGTAGCTTGAGGCTAGCAGGGTCTGTCATTGCCAGGACAAGCAGATACGGGGGTGGTGGTGGGAGCTGGCAGGGAAGGGGATAGAGCCGAGCTCCATGGTCAGCCGCAGGGTGGTGGCTAGGCTGGCCGCCTCTTCCCCCAGCCAGCTGGGAGGGGCAGTGGGGAGTTATTAATAGGAACACTGCAGTGCAGCTGGGAGTGTAGAGACAGGGAACCTGAGCAGTGAGAGGCAGGGGAGAGGAGGGAAGGGCCGCAAAGGGCTTAGTCCTCCTGACTGCAGAAGCTGCCCTCTGCTGCTTCCTTCCCCCTGATCTCATTTTGAGCCTTCTCCTTCAGCTCCCTTGCCCTCCTTTCTGAGGCCAGAAGAATTCTACGCAGAGCACAGCCAGAAGTGATGAGCTCATGCACCAAGTCTTTGCGTCCGGCCGCTGGTTCAGCCAGCCTCAGGTTCTGAACCTGCAAGGCCAAACAACACCCTACCTACTTTCCATCTCAATGACAGGGTGGAATGTGCCCTTAGCCCTGGGTATTGCCCCCGCAGGCTCTGCCCCATGGCGAATGTGTCTTCCAAGCACCTGGCGAGCTTCCGGTTGAACTCTGGTTGAGAGTTGCTATACTGCTTAGCGCTGCCTTCCTACACTCTGGTTCCCTGTCCCTTGGGTGTGATTATTTAGCAATCCCTAGCTTCTGATGGCCACTTCTTTCACGCTGCTGGGGGGGGGGACATCATGCCAGCCCTGTGGCCTTCTTATAGCTCACTTCAAGGGGCTGGGCGGGGAAGAACTTTGTCCCTCACAAGGCTGCTGAGCACCTCTTGATCCAGCCTGTGTCCCGCAGATACCTTCACAGGTTTAAATGGTACCCAGGAGGCAGGGCAGCAGGCTAACAAGCTCTGTTCTGTGCGGGCAGGAGCGGGAGACCGGATCTGTGCCGCTGAAGGTGGGAGACTGGGTTGAGGGGGGGGCTGGTGGAGTGGTGTGGGCAGGAGGTGGGGGAGTGGGGGATAAATCCAGCCAGACAGCTGGTGGAACTGGGCCCACATGGGGATGGGTACTGCAGAGGGCCAAAGTAGTGGCAGTTGTTCTGAAATATAGTCCTGGTACGCGGTCTGGAGGTCCCTGGCAGACAGTTGGTGATCTCAGCCCTTGTCAGGAAGTATGGAGCCACCCAACAGCTGCAGCAGCCCACTGGCTGGCCGCCCAGCCCACACATTCTGTTCTTCACTAATTCCCCTCAGGGAGCCAGGCCTGGGGTCTGAAGCCTGGGCCCAAGAGGGAGGGACAGGAGCTGTAGTGGCAGGAGGAGGGCCCCGGGCCATGTTCTCTCCCCCTCCCAATGTCTGTCAGGTGGGAAGAGGAGTACACAGTGCGGATTCAGCTGCAAGAGCGAGTGAATGAGCTCCAGGAGGTGAGCGTGGTCACCCCACTGCCCTGCTTCCCTCCCGTGCCCCTTCCCACATGACGTCATGCCCGCATTTCCTCCCGGCTGTAGGAGGCCCAGGAGGCCGATGCCTGCCAAGAGGAGCTAGCCATGAAGGTCGAGCAGCTGAAAGCGGAGCTGGTGGTCTTCAAGGGCCTCATGAGTAACGTGAGTTCAGGGTTCCCGCGTGGCTCTCAGGGACCCTCGGGTGGCCTGCTGCCCCTGGCCCTTCCGTGTTCGGGCCCCTCCCTCTCCCCTCACTTTCCCATGCTCTTCAACACTGTCTTCTGTCCGTAGACAAGGAAGCCATTGTCCTGTCTGCGAGGCAGCATGTGCGGCCTCACCATTACAAGAGGCTGTCAAGCAGTTAGTGAACACATAGTGAACACTGTGCTCTCCAGTGGCTCACACCTGCAACCCCAGCACTTGAGAGGTGGAGGCAGAACCATCAGACAGACAGGGTTCAAGACCAGCATCAACTACGATAAAAACAAAACAGAATGTGCATATAGTATCCCACATTGTGGGGACATCTGTTGGGTCCGGCCCACCTGAGAGGAGAGGAGGAGTGTGGATTGAAAAGGGATGGCAAGAGACGAGAGAGAGAGAGAGAGAGAGAGAGAGAGAGAGAGAGAAGAGGGCAAATGAAGCGGAGCCATTTCTATGGGCCCCGGCATATGCACGCTCTGGAGCCAGCTGCCTAGGCTCCCTTGTGAGTTGTGCCGCCTGCTAGCTGTGTGGCCCTGAGCCCACCATGCCTCCTGTCTGGCCTCATGTGAGGACTGTGCAAATTAAAGGGAAAGACCACTCAGGGTTGTCTTGAAGAGGACAATGCCCCCGGCTGGTGCTTAGTGCTAGGCAAGTGACGTAAGTGCCATTTGTCATCGCTTCAGTACTTTCTCCGCTTCAGTACTTTTGTTTTGTTTTTGTTTTTTGCTTTTCCAGACAGGGTTTCTCTGTGTAGCCCTGGCTGTCCTGGAACTCACTCTGTAGACTAGGCTGGCCTCGAACTCTGCCTGCCTCTGCCTCCCAAGTGCTGGGAATAAAGGCGTGCGCCACCACTGCCCGGCTGTCCACTCTTATCCCAGGGGTGTCTTTCCAGGGACTTCCATTTCAGGAGTATAAAAAACTGTGGTTCAAGGGAGGCCCCTGCTCATCCTAGCCTAGGTCAGTATTGCCTGGGGGTCTAGTGTCATGAGCTGCCTGTGGATGTGCAGTGAGGTAGGACGGGCCCCTGGGAAAAGGGCTGTGCATCCAGCGGGTCAGGGACTTTGTGGAGGAGGCGGCAGTGGTTTGCTGCAAAGGATGAAGATCTTGCTGAGGCTTTATCAGTCCCGGCGGGGGGTGCTGGGCATCTCCTCAGCCTTTCCTGTGCTCTTGGTACAGAATCTAACAGAGCTGGACACCAAGATCCAGGAAAAGGCCATGAAGGTCGACATGGACATCTGCCGCCGCATCGACATCACGGCCAAGCTGTGTGACTTGGCTCAGCAGCGCAACTGTGAGGACATGATCCAGATGTTCCAGGTGAGGGGTCTGCTGTCCGGCCGCAGCTCCTGGGGCTAGGCAGGTGGAGAAGCTTCTGTCATGGCTGGCCTGGCTCTCAGGCCCTGCTACCCTTCACCTCTGGGACACAGCTTGGCCCCTGGGGCCCTTGGTGGGACTAGGCTGGGAGGAAGGGACAGCCTCAGAACAGAGGTTTTGGAAGCCATCTCTAACTCCATCTCCCCTCCCCCCTCCTCTGTCTGCTTCTCCCTGCTCTGTCCCTCTCATCTTTCCTCTGGCTTTCTCCATAGAAGAAGCTGGTTAGTGTGACCTCACGCGAGCTTATTGTCCCGGTCCCGTCTCTAAGCCACCCCGCCCTCAGTTTTGAGCCACTGAGCTCTTCAGCTAGACGTCTTCTTCCCGTTCTGCTGTCCTTGCTCCTCCTGTTTTTGGTCTCTTCCTCGCTGGTTTACCCTCTTTTTCCTTCTCCCACTGGCCTTCCAGATCTGGATGTGATTCAGGTTCCCCATAAACACAGACGACCTCCTCGCGGCCCAGAACTGTTTTCAGTTGAGGTCTCTCACGAGAAAGAATTCCAAACTAAACAAAGCCCAACTCCTCTGTAGCCATTAAACACCTTTCTTTTTCTAAAGATTTATTTGATGTGTGCGGGTGCTCTGCCTCCGTGTCTGTGCATCACATGAGTGCCTAGTGCCCGAGGGTGCCAGAAGAGGGCTTTGGATTGATTGCCTTGGAACTGGACTATGGAGGGCTCTGAGCTGCCATGTGGCTGCTGGGAATTGAACCTTGGTCCTCTGGAAGAGCATCCAGTGCTCTTAACTGCCGAGCCACCTCTCTGCCCCCACAAACACATCTTAGTGTAGTCACCATAAGCCATTTCTCTCCTTATCTTACTTAGCTCTATTTTCTGTTTCTCCTTCCTTCTCCGTCTGCAGCTCTGCCCTGTCTGTGTGTGTCTGCCCATGTCTTAGTGACTCACTCTCCTGTTTCTGTTCCTGTCATGTAACTGTGTCTCTTCTCTGTTCGCCCCTCCCTTCCTGCTGGCCCTGCTCTGCCCTGCGGCCTCCCTGCCCAACCTCTCCTCATGCACCCGGCCTCGCCTCTGTAGTCTCTACACTTGTCTCCCATTAAGGTCCCGTCCATGGGGGGGCGGAAGCGGGAGCGCAAGGCTGCTGTGGAGGAGGACACCTCCCTGTCGGAGAGTGATGGGCCCCGCCAGCCTGAGGGGGACGAGGAGGAGAGCACAGCCCTCAGCATCAACGAGGAGATGCAGCGCATGCTCAGCCAGCTGTGAGTCCCGCAGGTCCATCCCAGCTGCCCTCACCAGATGCACCCAGTCCCCCGAGGCCGGAGCTCCCATAGTACCTTGTGCCTACTCAGAGGCCCCCACGCCCTTGACACACGGGTTCCCTGTCTCTAGGAGGGAGTATGATTTTGAGGACGACTGTGACAGCCTGACTTGGGAGGAGACTGAGGAGACCTTGCTGCTTTGGGAGGATTTCTCAGGCTATGCCATGGCAGCCACAGAGGCCCAGGGAGAGGTAACCTCCCCTCTTGGCCTTAGGCCCCTCAGGCTCTGCCTCTGTGTCCTGCCACGTTGTCTGCCTCCCGTTCTCATGCTCTGTCCCCAGTGTGGCTCTCTTCTTCCCCTGGCTCCTCCCCAACCCTGCCTGTGTCCTCTCTTCTATCTCCTCTAACCAGACTTTCTTTTCTCTCCCCGCCTTGGCCCGCCGATGCCCTTCTCCTGCCCCACTGCAGCAACAGCAGGAGGACAGTCTGGAGAAGGTGATCAAAGACACCGAATCCCTGTTCAAAACTCGGGAGAAGGAGTACCAGGAGACCATTGACCAGATAGAGGTAAGGGGGTTGGCGGGGGCTCTGTTCCCGGCGCTCACAAACCAGGCTGGAGGTATGCTGCTGGCCTCCTCTCTGCCGGACCCCAAGACCAGGACCCTCTACCTGTTAACAGGAGGGCTGTACCCCCTCCCCCCCAGTTGTGGCAGCTCTTGAGACTTCAGGACCTAGAGGCAGAAAGATATGGGTTCAAATCTTGCCTCTGTCACCACTTAGAAAAAATCTTTAGTCTCCTTTCTTTTCTGTTTACTTTACATGTATGTATGTATGTATGTATGTATGTATGTATGTATGTATTGGGCAGGGGAGCATGTGCCTCTCATGGTATATATGTGGAGGTCAGAGGACAAGTTGAAGTGAGTTCTCTCCTTCTACCATGTAGGTCCCAGGGATCAAATTTAGGTTGCCGGGCTTGGTGGCTTGTGCTTCACCTGCTGAGCCACTGCTTACCAGCCCCTTGTTCTTTCTTTTCTTTCTTAATATTTTGCAGGGGAGGGGGGTGAGACAGGTTTTCTCTGTGTAGCCCTGGCTGTCCTTGATCGCACTCTGTAGACCAGGCTGGCCTGGAACTCAGAGACCCACCTGTCTCTGCCTCCTGAGTGCTGGGATTAAAGATGTGGGTCAGCATTCCTGGCTCCCACCAGGGTTCTGTCTGAGTGGCTGTTTCATTGTGTGTGTGTGTGTGTGTGTGTGTGTGTGTGTGTGTGTGTGTATTTATGTATTTACAAGTTCTTATCTTGTAGTGTAGGTTGGCCTTGAACTTCTGGTCCTTCTGTTCCCATTTGCTAGGTTATGGGTGTGAGCTGCAACACTTCAGCTTTGTACTCTGTGTGTGCGTGTGTGCGCACGTGTGCATGGGCATGCAGATGTGCACACGTGTGCATGTGGAGGCCAGAAGACAAACTAGTGTTCTTCTTTGGGTGTGGTTAACTTTCTTTTTTAAGATTTATTTATTTATTTAGAAAAACAAAAAAACTTTTTATTAGCCAGGTGGTGGTGCCACCTTTAATTGCAGCACTGGAGAGGCAGAGGCAAGTGATCTCTGTGAGTTTGAGGCCAGCCTGGTCTAGGAAGCAAGTTCCAGGACAGCCAGAGCTGTTACACAGAAAAACCCTGCTTGAAAAACAAAATAATTTTATTTATTATGTATAGTGTTCTGTTTACATGTCTCCCTGCCTACCAGAAGAGGGCGCCAGATCTCTTGTAAACCACCATGTGGTTACTGGGACTGAACTAGGTCCTCTGGAAGAGCAGCCAGTGCTCTTAACCTCTGAGTGGTCTCTCCAATCCAGGTGTGGTTAACTTAAATAAATACATACATAAATAAATAGATAAATAAACAAATAAATAAATAAATAAGACTGAGATGCCTCTTGCTGGCCTGGGACTTGCTAAGTAGGCTTTGTTGGCTGACTAAGGGAGCTCTAGACGTCCATCTGTCTGTGCTGCCTCAGCTTCGGGATTACAGTGTGCACTGTGCTGTTTAGATTTTTTTAATATGGGCTTTGGATCCACTCAGATCTTCATGCTCATCAGGTAAGCTCGCGGTGTGCGTGCACACACACACTCCTTACCCCTGGAGGCCAAAAGAGGGAAGAGGGCATCAGATCCCCTGGAGCTGGAGTTCGCAGGTGACTGTGAGCCTGACATGAGTCCTCCCCAGGAGCAGGGAGTGCTCTGAACTCTGAGCCATCTCTCTTAGCCCCCATACAGGGTCTTTCTGTATAGCCAAGCTGGCCTCGAATTGGAGGCAATCCTCCTGCCTCAGCCTGCTGAGTGCTGGGGTTACAGATGTGGACTGCTGTGCTAAGCTTGGGCCTGCCTTTTTATTTGTCAGAAGAGATGGGCATGTCTCTCCCCGCAGGCTGGGTTATTAGGATGATCAGATAGAGTGAGGCACGTGGCACTTGGGACAGGATCTGGCAGGTTGACATGCAGTACTGTGCACTGTTATTTCCGGGGACACCCTATGCACTCGGGCACTCCTACCCCCTTGGCTCAGCCTGTGAGCTCCAGGAGGAGAGAGTCTCCCTTTGTTTCTGAGCCCGGGGAGTCCTTTATAAATCTCGATGGAGCTGGGGTTCTGACCACCCTGCTGAGCCAAAGGCAGGTTTGTAGGGAGGAGGTCAGTGTCAGAGGACATTGGGTGGGGCTATGTGAGCACTGTGGCTGGGACCCTGATGTGTGACTGAGGCAGGAGACGAGTATCAGCCTCCCTGCAAGCCTGTGGTGTATTCCCATGCTTGTAGGGGTTCACCCTGTTTGCATTTTGAGAAGTTATTTTCCTGTGTTCTCAGACCCAGAACACATCAAATGAACATACTATCCTCAGCAAAAACCAGGGATTTTGTTCTTAACTCAGAAAGTTCTGAGTTTCAGAGGCCCAGCCAGTGTTCTGCCACCAGCTGAGATTTGTCTGGGGACAAGTGACCCTCTCCCATCGCCTCGCCTCGCCTGCGCATGCCTCTTACTGCCCCTTCCCTTCCTGGCTTCCCTCCCCAGGTTGTGCCCACCCCTTTTTTATTCCATGCCTTCAGCCAGGTAGGGGGTCTTACCTTAGCTCAGTGACTGGGGCTGCCTGCTGCCGTGTGGTTCATCCCCCAGACCACAGGTGCCTAGCTATAACCATGATCTGGTAAGACAGGGAAGAGCATCCTGGGCTGGGACTGTAGCTCAGTTGGTAAAATGCCTGCCCAAATGCGTGAAGCCCTGAGTTTGATCCCAGTATCGAATGAAACTGGGTGTGGTAGTGTGAGCCTGTAGTCCCAGCACATGGGAGGTAGAGACGGGGATCAGAGGTCCACTGTCATCCTCCGCTACATAACAAGTTTGAGGCCAGCCTGGGCTACATAATCCTTGTCTTTAAAAAAAAAAAAAAATATTCTGAGCCAGGCAGTGGAGGCACACACTTTCAATACCAGCACTTGGGAGACAGAGGCAGGCAGGTCTCTGTGAGTTTGAGGCCAGTGTGGTCTACAGAGCGAGTTCCAGGACAGCCAATGCCATTATACAGAGATACCCTGGCTCAAAAAAAAAAAAAAAAAGGGTGGTGGGAGGAGCATGGCTTTGAAGTTGTTTCTGAGTTAAGTGGCTTCTGTCCTCTCTGGAAAGAATGACTTGAGAAGAAAGGTGAAGGGAGCTCACTTGGTAGCTTTGGTGGCAGGGTTGCTCCTCGGGCATCTGTAGTTCCTTTATCTGTAGGCCCTTAATCTCTCAGTGTTACTGGGTAGAGCTGCCCATTGCTGGACAGTAAAGCTGATGATGGGGGCAGTTTTCTTCCGGCCCTGGCCCTGGATCTCCCCCATCTACCTCTACTGCTCTGATCTCCCACGATGAGTCTGGAATTTGGGGGCCGAGTTGTTGAAAATGTGTTCTAGAATGTTCCCTTCAATGTGTAAATTAGGCTGATGCACGGGCACCCAGAGGCCCCTGTTGGCAGTGCTGGCTTGTGCTTTGAGAGACCATTTTTGCTTCACTTCTGTCTCTTGGAATAATGGGTTCTAGCCTTGTCCTTTGCTGTGCGCGCGCGCGTGTGTGTGTATGTGTAAGTATGCACCTGCTCGTGCATGTGTGCGTGTGTGCGTGTGTGCGTGCGTGCGTGCGGGTGGCAGCTGATCTCTGACCTGGAGTATCATTTTTCTCACTGGTAGCACAGACTGTTGTGGGAACAAGCATGCCTTTCAAGCCATCTCCACCACGGCTTACCAGCCAGCTGTCCACCAGATGACCCAGAATGCCGGTGTCCTGGCTGTCCCCTTTGTCTGCTCCTGAGGCTCATTTCCTTCTTTCTGCCCATTCCCAGCCTCTGTCCTGATCACTTTGCTGCGGGTGGCTTCCCACTGCTTACCTACATGCTTCACAGTCTCTCCTCTGCCTTCTCTTTGCTCTCAGGCAGCCAAGCAGACACCCCCCCCCCCGCCACAGCAGTTTGGTTCTCCCCTTCTGGCCCCTGGCCTTTGTGCCCAAAACAAAGAGAGGCAGCAGATTGTCTCTGGCCTAGATACTTTTCCGCCTCAGCCCACTTTTTCTCTGCCTCAAAACTTGGCTGCAGAGGCAGCTCTAGGGAGCAGCAGCGGGAGACGTTTCTTGATGCAGGGACCCCATTTCTTCCATGCGAAATTTCTGGAATCAGGATATATCTTGTAATCACTGGGTATGGACGTCTGTCTTGTGTGGGGAATGGGTCTGTGAGTGAGAAAATGGAGTGGAGTGAAAAGCTATAACAAAGCCAGGTTTCCTCCATTACAGTGACTCTTTGGGCTACTTCACAGTGAATTAGATCCAGCTGAGGGAGAGCTGGGTGGCACCAGAGATGGAGAGGCGAGCAGGACTCTGCCTACCCTTAGGAACTGAACTCTGAGTCACCGAGGAAGGCTGGTGTACTGCCTGGAGAACCGGGGTGAGCTGAGGCAGAGAAACCCAGGAGGCAGCAAAGCATCCATAGACCGCTATCTCTGTTCATGCCAGTGGAGTCCACTCGGCCCTGTCCACACGGACAGCCTTTCCTTGTTACTCTCTATCTTGCTTTTGGGAGCTGTAGGAATTGAAGCCAGGACCCAGGCTAGGCAAGGTCTCTCACAGAGGTGCATCTGCTGACTTTTTCTTTTTTTGAAAGTCTCCCATGTGGTTCAAGCTGTCCTCAAACATGCTATAGACCAGGCTGACCTTCAACTTCTGGTCCTCCTGCCTCCACCTCCCTAGTGCTGGGATTGCAGACATTTGACACCAGGCCCAGTGCAATGTGGTGCTGGGGATAGAACTTGTGGTTTTATTGCATACAAGCCAAGCAGACAAGCATACTACCAGCTGAGCCATACTGCAAGCCTCTCCACACCTTTAAACACTTTGAAAATTAAATTTTATCATTATTAATTGTGTGTGTGTATGTGTGTTCACATGCCATGTCCACCACGAGGGTCCCTGGTATCAAATTTGGATTGCAGACCTGTGCAGCAGGTGCCTTGTCCCGTGAGCCATCTGACTAGTCCTGTCTTGTTGCCTGCCCCTCCCCACACTGTTTTGTGTGTGGGTTTTTTGTTGTTGCTATTGTTTTTGGTTTGGTTTTTTTGAGACAGGGTTTCTCTGTGTCACAGCTCTGACTGTCCTGGAACTCATTCTGTAGACCAGGCTGGCCTTGAACTCACAGAGATCAGCCTACCTCCACTTTCCCAATGCTGGGATCAAAAGTGTGTGCCACCATGCCCGGCTTCTTTCGCCTTTTTGAGACCACGCTTTACTACTTAGGTTTTAGGTTTACACCAGACTGACCTCAGCTCCTGAGTGTTCTGGGTGTGCTCGCTGAACTGTGTGTGGTCTTTACTGCTCTCTTACAAGGAACTCAGGTCTCGCATCTAGCTGGCTCTGGGGATGGGGGGCAGTGTAGAGACTCCCAGGAAAGGGCTGGGCGGAGCACTGTCCTGAGCCTTTGCCTAGCCAGAGTGAGGGCCTGGAGTTAGATTGCCAGTAACCCTGTCCCCAGTCCTAGGGGAGACAGGCAGTCGTGGTATTGATGTTTTCTGCCACCTGTTTGCTTTCTTTTGCAGTCCCAGCCTTTACCTATGGCTGCCAGGCCTCCCGGGGCCCAGCTGGGCTCTAATCCCCTGTCTGCCTTGGGCTTGCTAACCTCCTCATCCTGCCCTGCCCTACTTTACTGCAGCTGGAACTGGCCACGGCCAAGAATGACATGAACCGACACCTGCATGAGTATATGGAGATGTGCAGCATGAAGCGGGGTCTGGATGTGCAGATGGAGACCTGCCGCCGGCTCATCACACAGTCTGGGGACCGGTAAGGACCTGCTCCTACTGGGCCCATGCCCTACGCCCAGGAAAGAAGGGTGAACAGAGCCCCGATGACCCGTGGGCAGCGATCGGGTCACATGTTCAAGTGGAGCTGTCCTTGGGAGTCACCTATAGCTGTGGCCCAGATTGATAGCTTCCTCTCTCTGCCCCTGCCCTGATGCCTGCCATTGCCCCAACTCTGAGTGTCTGAGAGCTGAAACCAGGCCAGGAACGAAGAGATACAGGGGCAGGTTTTTATCCAAAGTCTATCATGATTTATGTATTTGACCTTGTGTAAGAGTAAATTTGGGGTTGGGGAATATAGCTCAGTGGTAGAGTACTTGTAGCCTGTGTGCCTAAGCTTGTGCACATGCACACACACACACACACACACACACACACACACACACACACACACTGAGTAAACTTAAAAAAAAAAAATCTGGGGCATGAGAGATAGCCCATTGGTTAAGAGCACTGGATGCTCTTCCAGAGAAACCAGGTTCAACTCAGCAGTCACATGGCAGCTCACAACTGTCTGTAACTCCAGTTCCAGGGGATCTGATACCTTCACATAGACATACATACAGGCAAACACCAATAAACACAGAATAAAAATAAATTATATATTAAAAAACATGTAGCCCATGCCTGGCAGTACATGTCTTCAATCCCAGCCTTGGGTGGCAGAAACAAAGCTTGCCATGAATTTGAGGCTGTCCTGGACTACAATAGCAAACCATGTCTCAAAATGAAACAACCAGCAACAGCAACAGGTAAAATCTAAGGAACCACAGTAGCCAGGTGTGATGGTGCACACCTGTCATCCAAGTACATAGGTGTCACAGGCGGGTGGATTGCCACACGCATCAGGCCAGTCTCACCTCTGTACAGAGTTCCAGGCCAGCCAGGAATGCAAACTGAGACCCTGTCTCAAAACAGAACCCCAGCCCACTCCCCCAGTTGCATTAATCTACGCACAGTGTGTAGGATGTTCACTGGCTTTAGTGGCCTTTGCTCATCATCCCAGCTACTTTGGAGGCAAGAGGATTGCTTGTAAGCAAGAGTTGGGGGTCAGCCTTGGCAACATAGTAAGACAGTCCCCACCCCCACCCCTGGTGTCAGTGCATTGTGGGCTCGGGAAGCATCTCCATGCTGTGACCTGAGATTTTCTGATCTCTGAGCCTCTCAGTCTCCAAGATAAGAGGGCAACTGTTTCCTGTCAGGGTGAATGGGGACGAGTCTTCCCACTCCACTTCCCAGCCTGGCATCCAGCTGCACCCCGAAAGATAAGGCCATGGGAAGGAGTGAGCACGCAGGCCTCCTTAGGCTTCCTGCTTGCCCCAAGGTAACATCTGTTTTTTTTTCTCTAGAAAGTCTCCTGCTTTCACTGCGGTCCCGCTTAGCGACCCACCGCCACCGCCAAGCGAAACTGAGGACTCCGATTGCCATGTCTCATCTGATAGCTCCATGAGATAGGGACCAGTGCCTGGCTCCCTAGAGCTCACTGAGGCAGGGGTGGGGTCTGCAGAAGGCTCTGTCTTGTGTGCCACTGCATGAAACCTGGCCCTGGGGAGTCCCCCCGGGGTGTCTGGAACTAGGCTTGGCCCCACCCTTCCTGGACAACTCCCATCACATCGGGCACTCCGCCTTCTTCACTCGTGGCTCTTTGCTACTTCTCATCTTTGAAATGCTGCCAGAACCCTTGTGAGCCTCCCTTCTCCGTTTGTAAGGATGTGACTGTGGGACCTGCCTGCTCTCCTTGGCTATCTTGGACTTTTGTACTGGTGCTAACTGGCCCAGTCCCTGCTGTGCATCAGACTGGTCTGGGAGTCCCCGAGGCTTCCAGCATCATGTACACCCGGGAAAAGTTTTGCTTCCTCATAAGGCTTCAGGGGGAGGGGGCACCTGGCCTTCTGTCCCGTGTCCAGGAGCTCACAGCTGCCCACCTGCCTACCATACAGGAAATGCAGCTGTATAGCTTTTCCTCTGGGAAGTACACACAGAGAACTCAGTGCCTGGGCTGAGAGAGGCGTCCTGAAGGCAGACGGTGCTGGGAAAAGGTGAAGCTCCGTCCTGCACATGGGTGGCCGTGTGCTCAGGGCCTGTTTCTCTAAGGATCAGCTGAGGGAGTGCCTCTGTGACTATCAAAACCGACAGGTTAAGATGTTTCTGACCTTGGAAAGTAGGGGACCAAGTCAGGATGTCTCAGTAGAGGCCATGCTAAGCTGACATTAAGTGGAATCTTCAAAATGAAGGAGTATTTATTGAGCACATCTGTGTCACTGTCTTAAGCACTTTCTGCTGGGGTTTTTAATTTTTAGGTTTTCCGAGATGGGGTTTTTGTCCTAGACTATTATTCCAGGTTGGCCTCAAACTCGGATCCTCCTGCCTCTGCCACTCCAGTGCTGGGATTGCTGGCATTAAAGGCATGCACCACCACTGTCCAGCCTGAGATGGGATGAGGAACTGGATACAAATGAATGCCCCAGAACCAGAGCACTTAGCTGCATCAGACCACACTTGAAGATAGTAACAGCTGCTGACACTCAGCTCAGCTGCTCCAAGATACAGTGTAGTCATTTCCACTCAGATACATTTTCACTGTATTTGGCATCCTTCCAATTTTACCCAAGGTCTCCAGACACAATTGACCTTTGTCTGCAGGCAAAGCACACAGCCATGAACACACAACCCAAGCCTCAGTACTCCTGGTCCCACTGTCAATCCACTCCTCCAGGTGCTGGCACCTTTGGTGGTTTTTGCCCTGTTCAGGACAGGAAACCTGGGCATGTGGCTAGATGGTGACTCTGGACTTTGTAGCACTGTGTGGCAAGTGACAGAGCTATATGCACAGAATGTGAAGCCTTCCCAACCTTGCTAGGGCACAGCCCCCTCCCAACCCTGTATGGAAACACCAAGGAAGACAGGTGCAGTGAACTTTATTGATGGTACTCAAGAGAGCAGGGCTCCCTAAGCCCCTTCATTCTGGGGGTCTGGGATGGAAACTGTGAGGGAGATTAGTGTCGGGGGTTGTTGGACAGGGACTGCTCAGCAGCCAGGGCCTCTCTCTTGCTCATGTCCTTGCTGGGGGTGGATGGTCCAGGATGGGCTCTTACTCCTTGGAGGCCATGTAGGCCATGAGGTCCACCACCCTGTTGCTGTAGCCGAATTCATTGTCATACCTAGAACACATTACATTGGGAGGACAGTTAGAAAGGGTTTACTTTTTGAGCTGACACCAGGGTGTGCCAAATCCAAGTTACTCTTAAAAACTCATTTCTGACCCACATACCAGGAAATGAGCTTTACGAAGTTGTCATTGAGAGCGATGCCAGCCCCAGCGTCAAAGGTGGAAGAGTGGGAGTCACTGTTGAAGTCGCAGGAGACAACCTGGTCCTCGGTGTAGCCCAGGATGCCCTTCAGTGGGCCCTCGGATGCCTGCTTCACCACCTTCTTGATTTCGTCATACTTGGCCTATTAAGGGCAAAAGTCAAGATGCCCACTCCTGCCCCAACCTCACCACTGTATCAGAGACAACCCTCAGTCCACTCCACCCCAGACATACAGCTTTCTCCAGGCGGCATGTCAGATCCACGACGGACACATTGGGGGTAGGAACGCGGAAGGCCATGCCAGTGAGCTTCCTGCAGACACAGGGAGGTTTGGTCAGCCCCGATTACTACTGTCCCACACCCCCCCCCACACTCCCATGCAACAAAAGCTCACCCGTTCAGCTCTGGGATGACCTTGCCCACAGCTTTGGCAGCACCAGTGGATGCAGGGATGATGTTCTGGGCAGCCCCACGTCCATCACGCCACAGCTTCCCGGAGGGGCCATCCACAGTCTTCTGGGTGGCAGTGATGGCATGGACTGTGGTCTGGAAAACATGGAGGCCGTGAGTGAGGTCTTGAAAGGCACCCACCATAGACGGATCCACTGTCGGCAGGACAAAACAGAACTACATACCATGAGTCCTTCCACAATGCCAAAGTTGTCATGGATGACCTTGGCCAAGGGGGCTAGGCAATTGGTAGTGCAGGAAGCGTTGCTACAGAGAAGAGACAGGTTAGGAGGCATATCCGCCTGCAACCTCATCCCTGCTTACCCACTTTGCTAGAGCCCTCTGCCATCCTCACCTGACAATCTTGAGAGAGTTGTCATATTTCTCATGGTTCACACCCATCACAAACATGGGGGCATCAGCAGAAGGGGCGGAGATGATGACCCTCTTGGCCCCACCCTTCAAGTGGGCCTGCATAGAAGAAGCTGATTTCAGATCCAGTTCTTACTTTTTAGGCACTAAAATCACAGGGTTTCCCTCGTCTTCAGCCTGCTGGCCACTTACCCCAGCCTTCTCCATGGTGGTGAAGACACCAGTAGATTCCACAACATACTCGGCACCAGCATCACCCCATTTGATGTTGGCGGGATCTCGCTCCTGGAAGATGGTGATAGCCTTCCCGTTGATGACAAGCTTCCCATTCTCAGCCTTGACTGTGCCCTTGAACTTGCCGTGGGTGGAGTCATACTGGAACATATAGACCTGGGGGGAGCAAGTGAGGGAGGACATCAAGGGACTGATTGAGTCCTCAGACACCCCACACCCCGTGACCTGAGGGACCAGCACCCACCATGTAGTTGAGGTCAATGAAGGGGTCATTGATGGCAACAATGTCCACTTTGCCAGAATTGATGGCAGCCCTGGTAACCAGGCGTCCAATACGGCCAAATCTGAGGCAAAACAGGTGGTGAGTTAGGGCTAGGGGTCAGAGAGCTCATGGGTCTAGTCAGCACTGGGCCGACACATGCTCTTTAGAAAGCAGAATCCAGTTGTCCCGTAGCTGTAGAGGGTCCACAGAAACCATGGCCCGCTGTACATGCTACAACAAAGACAGCCCTTTTTAATGGAGATTCAGTACAGAATTAGGGGTATGTAAGAAGCAGGAAATTCAAGCTTTGTTTTGAATTTCCTTTAACAAAGCTGGCTGAAGCCTTACAGGTAGAACCCAAATACAGGGCATCTTCATCCTTAGGAAGCCAAGAGGTCTAATTTTATCTCCCTTGAGCAAATGAGGGCTCGCTGGGCTTTTATAGCACAGCCATTAAAATGGAGGTTCCTTTCCTGTCCAAGAGGTGATTAGGCTCAAAGCCTGGTCCATCCACCCCTCTCAACTCGTCATTTCAAGTCTCTAAGAGGTGGCTGTGTTCCAGTGCAGGCACAAATCATTCCCCCCTCATGCCCAGGGAAGCTTGTTCCTGCCTGGCTTCAGGTTACACCCCGTGGACAGGAAGGACTTGTGCACTCAGCATCATCAAGCTCAAAGGGCAAGGTTAAAGGTCAGAATGAGCTGGACAGGGTCAGCCAACCTGCTTCCTCCAAGTCCCTCCTCCTAAAGGGCAAAAGATCCAACCCCTAATCTGTGACCTCTAATTTGCAAAGCACCTGTCTTTGCTAGTTAAAAATCAGGAGCAGGAGCTACATGTGTGTAGGGGCCCGCTGGGTGGAGGAGCCCCGACCCCAGATACAGAAAGGTCAGGCAGCTAAATTTAACCTCAGATTAGGGTGGAGTGGGGAGATCTGGTTTCCAGAGGATGGGATGGGGAGAAGGGTAGGCTTCCGAGGCTCAGACACCCAATCCTCTTAGTGACCTTTACAGTCTGGCCTACAGAGTTTGGGTCAGGGTGTGATGGGGAGCGGAGGTTTTAGGGGATAAGGGGATGCTAGCACCGGAGCCATTTTGTGGTGGAAATTTTTTTCGGAACCACCATGACTCAGCTCCCCCCCCTCCCGCACTACGCCATAGCCACCACCTTTGAGGCTGGGAGGACTACTGGACTCTGAGTCCGCTTCGGTTCTCTGAGCAGTCTAAAAAATGCATCACATGCTCGAGGAAAATGAGGGCTGCTCTGAGTCTAATAAGGTGAGACGGCCTGTGAGGTAGAGGTCTCCGGAGAGCACGGAAGCCTTGCATCACCTGGCTTACAGGATAGAGGCGACTCCACCCGGCAGAGGGAGGGAGCGAAGGGTTAGTCACAAGCTAGGGAGGAGGAAGGCCAAAGGAAGGTTTCCTAACGGTGGTTCATTCATTTCCTTCCCGTTTGCAACATGGCGGCGGCCAGTCACCCTAAAGGAAGCCCTTGGAAGATGATGCGCCAAGGCGCACCTCACAGCCTGGTGCCACCGACCGGGGGGATGGGGCAATGGGGGAGGGGCTCCCCTCCTGGCACGTGACTCCTCAGGGCGCGAAAGTAAAGAAAGCCCCAGCCAGGGGATTAGGGGGATGGATCCTAAGCAGGCGTGCGCGTGGGGGATGGTCCTCCTAGTGAGGACTCCGGGCTGCTCATCCCCGCAAGGGCGGACCCGGAATCTTCGTCCGGTCCGATCGCTGACCTTGAGGTCTCCTTGGGTGCTGCGGCCACCCATCCACCACCCCACGCTATTGCAGAGTCCCCGGGTCAGGTATACGCAACGGAGTAGTGCCCGGAGCCCCACCCTAGCCCAGACACGAACTCACCCGTTCACTCCGACCTTCACCATTGTGTCTCAGAAACGAGGCTGCGGGAGAAGAAAATGAGATCAGCGTGGACCACGGTCACCAGGAGACCCCCTCCCCCCCCCCCAGCCTCCATTCCCGCCGCGCGCCCCATCACGTCCTCCTCCAGCCTCTGCAATGCGGAGCCCGGGCTTGGCCAGCGTTGCTCGCACCAGCGCCCCCAGTCCCGGACAGAGCGCACCCCATTCCCAGTTTCCGACCGCCCCGGCCACCTGCGGCCCACTTTGCGTTTTTCACCTGGCAATGCACGAAAAGATGCGGCTGTCTCTAGAACAGGGAGGAGCAGAGAGCACCGGGGAGGGCTGCAGCCCGTATTTATAGGAACTGGGATGGTGGAGGGGGGAGCTGATGACGCTCGCCCCGCCTCCCATCCTGCTCATCCAGTCTCAGCTCAAGGGCGCTGAGGCCTGAGCTACGTGCACCCGTAAAGCCGCGAGTAGCTGGGCCTCTCGGTTCCTCCCCACCCCCCGTCTCTTTGGACCCGCCTCGTTTTTGAAATGTGCACGCACCAAACGTGTGGGCTCGGGGCTGAGAGGGGGAGGGGAACTGAGATTGCCTCGCTGGGGAGGTGACCCGGTGATGGGGAACTGGAGAGGACCGAGGGAATACAGACTATGGACTTAAGGATGAGGAGTGTGCACCAAGGACATCCAGGACCCAGGGCCCTCAAAGTTGCTGCCAGGATAAAAGGGGAGGACCTTGGGAGCTGCAGGAAC